GTAGTCGGAATAATGAGGGCAGATCAAAGCCGTCCACAGCATCGGGCCAATCGTCGCCCCCCACAAATGAACTCAACTCACCTACCATGAAATCGTTTTCCGAAGGAAGGAGACTTTATGTAGGAAATATGCCGTACATGGCGAAGAAGAAAGATGTGGAATCCCTATTCACTGAAGGCGAGACGATCTATAACGTGTAAGCTATTTTCCTCCCAACCTGGGGAGCTGTTGAATTAGGATTAATCCTAGCGGTAGAGAGCGCATCGATATATCCATTGACCCATTCACCGGGCGGAATCCATCGTACTGCTTCGTCGAGCTGGAGACAAAGCAACAGGCAGATCTAGCGATTATGGAATTAAATGGCAAAGACATGTTGGGTCGTCCCGTGAAAATCAAACCTGGAATCCCCAAGTCGTCCAAGGAGCCCTTTGGACGAAGAGACATGGCCACGACTCCGGAAAAACAGCCACCAAGATTTGTCTTTGAGCGATGGGAGAGATCAGATGATGCTTCGAGTCACTGGTATGATTATAGCGCCCAGGGCCGCCGTCTATTCGTTGGAGGCCTTCCCAGGATGCCAAACCAACCTACCGCAGACTATGAAATCCGGAAATTGTTTTACGGTTTCAACATGTGAGTGAAATTTTACACGATGACCACATCGACCGGCCACATTTGCTTTGCCCCCTCTGAAAGTCTACATGCAACCAAACTCATATTTCTAATGCCATCTCTCTCTCTCTCTCTCGCGCGCGCTCCTCAAACCCACAGTGAAGCCATCAGCAAAGTTATCTCCCCGCACCCGTCGAAACGCTCACAACCTGGAAACCATTACTACCTCTTTGTCGACCTGGCCTCGTCGGAGGAGGCTGACCGCGCCATCGAAGCCCTAACCGGTGTCAGCGCTGTCTGGGGCAGTCGGGTACACATAAACAAGGCCCGCGGAAACTCGCACAAACCCGCTGAGCGCGACCGATGGGAAGGGAACAGCAAGGCACACAATGGAAGCGATGATCAGAATGATGATGGCAGCAGTGGGCAATCAGCTACGGGTGCGGAATCTGACCGTCCACCACGATCACGTTGGGCACTGCCAGGCGGATTTGGAGACGAAGCCGGGGCGTCTTCAACCCAGTCTGCTCGCGTGGAGTCGCCACCATAGCTGGATTATATGTACTGGACCACTCGAATATACCCATATTTCTTTCTTGCTTTCATTTTTATTTATTTATTCATCTATCTATTTATCTATTTATTTATTTATCTATTTTGGACATCATCATTTCAGACCCCCTCCCAGGCTGTTTCTGCCAAGGCGTTTCGGAGTGGTTGATGCTATCAAGTATACACATATAGAATACAAATGCTAATAAACATACTCAATGAGGAAGCACCTAACTACATACGAGAAGAAGCATTACTGGGGTTACAGTTGAATGGGTTTTTCATACATCTCTATTATTAACCTCAACGCCCTCAACACCAGGCTTAGGGGTAGTTATAGTTAGGATTAGGATTAGGAATTAGGGTTATGTGCTCAGGCTTCAAGAGAATCAATCCAGAATCAATTGAACGACATTGGTGCAGCTCTTCAAACACAAACAAGTATTCTGAACAAGAGACAATCGTCATATGCTGCTGTCCTTATCTATCAGTTCCATACAGTCCGGTCCCAGCGTTTGATGTTTGGTTGAAATCTCTGATGTAGCTAAAGTCCGGCCAACGAACCGGATCACGTGTGCTTGAAGGCCTCTGTTTGCTCCAAATCTGCCAACGTGAGCTTTCACGGGACATAATCGAATCATCGCACCAGACCAGACCCGGGCTTGCATGCTGTATCGTGCAGCGGCTGTCCATTTGGGATCCAGCCGTAAAATACACACTACGCATCAGAGTATCTGTGTTTCCCGTGTTGTTTCCCTCCCCCCCTCTTTGACTGGCTTCTCGTTCCTAGGTTCCCGTTCTTTCGCCGGCAGGTGGTCCCTTGGCGTATGTGCAGCTGAACAGAAAAGGTCCTCTTCTCTGGAGACAGAACCCAAGAAAGTAGCCAGGCATCAACAGCAGCATGACCACCATTTGTCTTGGTTTATCCACCCAACCCACCCCAATAATGGGCGAGAAAAGAGGATGTGGGGAGAGAGATAAACGAAACCAACCGCATGAACGAGGAACCACTCTTTTGCCAGCCTAGCCTGCCAGTTTCCCAGGTTCCAGACCATCGTCATGTTTTTTTAAGTTCCCCCCCCTTCTCTCAGTAAAGATTGTTCTTTTTCCTTTTCTAGGGACCGTCAACAGCTATATCATTAGAAGCCGAGACAGCGCCAGCTTCAAGTCACTTCGAGGCTGGGTTTGCGTTGACGCCGGGGCAGTAAAACCCCGGGAGTCTTCCCCGCCGTTTTTGCAGCAGGCACAAAGATGCCAGAGTTTGGTTTCTCCTTGACGTTTCAACCACTTGACGGGGCAGCCGGCCGGGGCTGATAATCCGAGATTCAAGTTTCTGTTCCAATAACATTTCGTCAGCCAGATACGAAATGTTGACTACTTTATTTTGACTTTTTGGTGTCTCCCCTTTTTTGCCTCCTCTTTCTCTTCTTTTTGCCTTGTAAAAGAAAAAGCAAAACAAAAGCAAAAAAAAAAAAAAAAGAAAAAAAGAAAAAAAAAAGAAAAAAAGAAAAAAAAAAGAAAAAGAAAAGAAAAGAAAAGATGAATTGACTATATATCCAGAGTGTGTTTCTGCAGATGCCCTTATGCCTTCTGCAAGAGAAGAAAAGAAAAAGAAAACAGAAGGGAAGAAATATATAAAAAATAAATACATGCCTTGCAGAAAATTACTATGAGCCTGTCTGTTATGCATGTGTGTCCCATGATTCAGACTACTCTGTCTTTTCTTTGACATCTGATTCACCTCTGTCCCTTCAGCAACGCATGTGAAAACTTTATGAGCTTCTTTGATTGGTCTTATTTTTATTTTTTTTATTTTTTTTTTCTACAATTGCACAGAAAGTTCCAATTTTGAGCACATTTTGGAATTCAATTTCTCTCTTCTTCAGATCTTCATATGTTGATAGCTCAGTTGCTATCAATCTTTCACTCCTTATCTTGAGCTTCATTCTAATACACCAAGGATGATGCTGCTTTCCCAAACACTCCTCCTCTCCTTTATTGCTACCTCATGCCTCATCCACCCTACCACCGCACGCACAAACAGTCAAGCCGCCTTCAGCCCCATAGGCACAGGCTGCTGTCCTCCGGGACCCGAATTCCCCGGAGCAACCTCCCATCCCAATGCCACTGGCACATTTCCCATAGTAGGCTTGTACCTTGACGACAGCGCCGTCATCGCCAAAATTACCAGTAACACCAACAATGCTTCCCTATCACTACGGGCACCCAGGAACTGGACTTGGTCAACCAGCGTCATGGAAGTCCGGCTGGGAAACAGTGGCGCCAATCTCTCCGCCACCAATCAGATCTTCACGCTTGATATACCTATAGACGAGGATATCTATAACAAGAAACATCAGCGGAATGTATGTGTATTGTTATTAGAGATGATTACCGTGAATCAGAATGATCCGGGGCGGTGTGAGAATATTTTCACCCGACGGAAGGTTGAGGGGATGAGAGCGGAATTTGTGAGGAGGGTTGAGGAAATGAGGGAGTTTGATGAGGATTTTTCACCGTGTGCCGGGATGGGGGGCACGTCGTGGCAGGGTGAGTTCTTGTCTACATATATCATCACCATTTTTCCCGCCCCCGTCCATAGAAAAGAGGAAGAAGAAGAAAAAGAAGAAGAAGAAGAAGAAGAAGAAGAAGAAGAAGAAGAAGAAGAAGAAGAAGAAGAAACACATCGTTTAGTTTTATCAAACACCCACACCCCCCACCCACAGAAATAATAAGCAGCTACCACCGCGGAAACTCCACCCTCGCAGCTCGCAACACCTCCGTAGCCGCCCAGTACCAGTCCTCCACATCCTCACATCCTTCTGCAGATACATCAGCCTACGACACCGCTCTCGTCCGCACCCAGCCCATCTTTTTGCTGGGATATTCTGTTGACCCGACGGTTCTGGCGGGGCCTGCCATTGTTAAGAGAGAGTTGGTGGAGACGAGGCTCTCCTGCGTGAGGGTTAGGGAGGTGGCGAAGGGAAGTCGGGGGCAGATGAGTGGTGCTGGGAGTTCTGTTGGAGGTCTGCTGATGACGGTGATGGGAAAGGGGGTAGTCGGGGTGTGGTTTGGGGTTTGGGTGGGGTTGTTGGTTTTCTGAGAGAAGGGGGGAAGAGGGGGGGGGGGGGGGGGTTGGCATGACAATGATTGCTCTGGTTTATTTCTTAATTGTCTGATGCTGTTTCTTTCAACGATTTCCTTTTCCATTTTCTTTTTCTTTTTGATTGTGGTTATCTTGCCTGGAGTAAATGGGGAAATTTCAGTACATAGGATGCATATGTGATAAATGTCGTTTCATGGAAGCATGGTTTATTTAAAATGTTACAAGGCTTTGTATTTCTTTCTTTCTTTCTCTTTTCTTTCTAGTGATTTCTTTTTAATGGCCTTGATTCAGGCTGGCTTCTTGATGATGGATTTCCATTGCTGAGGTTAGAAGATTATTCCACTCTCTTACAGATTTTGTGTATTGGTAAGAGATATCCGCAGAAAGAAAATATTAGCATACCAGCAATGGGACTGAGAAAAAAGCATCCAAAAATTTTCATAAGAGAAATAAATTTCATATTGCTGTGGTTTTCTGATATATCCTTTACACCCTTCCAACGCTTAAAGCTCGAAGGGGACCAGCTGTAAAGACAATAGGGAGGAATTCACGGCTAGGGTTGCATGATAAATCGATACTATCATAAAATCGTCAGAGATATACGTGAGGAAGGGAAGTGGAGTGGAAAAAGAAGAGAGGGGAGAAGAATCACAACTGCTCTACTTGTCGCCTGCTCAAAAGAGAAATAATCATAATATTTATTGTTAACGCCAGAAATGGTGACACCAAGATCTAATGCTGGACCTGTTGGAGCTGGGATTCATATTTACCAATATAAAGCAGAAACGAAATAAACGGTAACAAACCCCAAACAACATTCTCACCAGCCAAAGAAGGTATAGGAAAAGAGAAACAACAGATGAAGAAAAAATATAATGAAGAAAAAAAAAAAAAAAAAAACCAACCCCAATCCGCCCCATCTCATCCACCCTAATAACCCCTCCTTCCATGCCTCCCTCTCCCATCCCCCATCTGCTCAAAATCAATGGGCGCCCCAACCCCATTCACAGGCGGTGGCGGCGGCGGCGGCGTCACATACATCATCGGCATTATCGGTCCCATAGTCTGATCAATGCGCAGATGCGACAGCTGCTTCGCGCCCATGCTCATCGCGCGAGCTCGTTCCATGCTATTGTCACTAGGACTGTCATCGTTCGCGCTAGCGCTGGCCCTCTGTCTGCTCGAATGCGAACCAACAGGGGCGAGAGATTCTGGATCGATTCTGGATGCGTACTGGCGGTAATTGTTGCTTATGCTGTGTGTCGGGGCGCGAGAGGAGTTGGTGGTGGTGGTGGTGGTGGTGGTGGTGCGGTAGAGATGGGGGCCGTGGTGGTGGACAGGGGAGGTGGGGGCGGAGTTGGCGGCGTATGTATCGTCGTTGAAGATGTATTCGCGGAATTTAATGCCGGGGTGGGGTGCGGTGGGGAGTGGGAATTTTAGTTTGCGGGTTGAGGTTACGTTTGTTTGTTGAAGGGACATGCGGCGGGTTTCGTCGTGGTAGGTACGAAAGTCGGCGGATTTGGGGACGTAGGGGTAAAAGTCATGTGTTTGGGTTGGTTCTGGCGGGAGGGGTTCTTCACGTTGGAGACGGCGGCGTGGGGGGGAGTAGTTCCATCCTTTCCTTGTGGTGTATGCGGCGTCGTGGGAGTGCCGTCGGGCGTGAGAGGAGCGGGATGGGAGAACCTTCTCATAGTCCACGCTTGGTCCGGGGGCTTTCCGTGCTCTGGATCGACGGACGGGTTCCTCGGATTCCTCGGACAACAACGATGACTTCGATGGAGCCCGTGAGAGTCGTCGTCGTGGAGGTGCTGAAGGGAGATCATGGCGAGAGTGCCGATGGCGTGAAGTTGGCTTACTGTGTGGAATCTTGGGACCATATATGGGAATGGGATCTTCTTCATCGATGTCGTCATGCCTCAATTCTGGTTCTGTGGACAGCGGAGATGTGAATTCTGGTACAACGCGTTTATGAGAACGTGCATTGTAATGAGAACTAGTTTCCTGCGACGTGGTCCTTGAGTAATCGCCTGGCCGTTTACTGGTGATTTGCTTGCGGGAGGCGAAGTAGCCGGGATTTTCATCCGGAACAGAACCATCGAGAGACTTGGGACCTGCTCTAGAATCGGACGAAACCCGATCAGATAAGCCTGGGCGATGCGAAGAGCTCTTTTGCTTCCTAGCTCTGTAATCGTCTTCCAATTTCTGGCTGACGGTTTCATGCCACTTGACCATTTCCGGGTCAGGTTCCGTTGGGAAGGAATCCCTCGGAATAACCTTTGGAAATATACATCCGCCAGAAGGGTTGATGATATCAAACTTCTTGACTGCTTTCTGAAGGAATCTGACATGCTCGTCTGGGCATAGAAGTAGCTGGATCGTCTGCCAGCGGATAAAGCCATGGGGACGCAGGGCAGGGATGCACGGTGGTTTGAATGGGTCTTCCGTTGGTTGGAGTGTATGGAAACACCCTAATGATTGGTATATAAATGACAGAGAGCTGTGAGGGGTATGTAGAAAGACATTGTCGTAATTGCCTCCGACTTCGCGGTAAAAGTAGGCCAGATTCTCTGGCGTCAAATCTTCCGTATTTGACTGACATTTATCTGTCTGCGGTAGCGAATGGCTTCAGCACGGTTTCATCTTGGAGCGAGGAATGGATGGCTTACTATGAATTTCGCAATCCCCAGACAGAGCTGTTCAAATAGAGGAGTGGCACTTTTGTCTGTTCGAATCATGAACCCCCAGTAGTTTCTTGGTGGATTGTGCGGGGAAGACATGTCGTATCGTTCTCTTCAAGGCGGTGAGGAGAGTTCCTGGCTTTTTGAGTTTCTCACAAGAAAGAAGGGAATGAGCCAGCTCATATATCACCATTCCAATTAGCCCTTCGAACAGGAATAAACTCTTAGTTACTTAGGCAGATAGGCGCCAGCGCGGGCTCAAGCTCTAGGCGTTATAGTTTTGGTGACTGGATCGTGTGCCAAAGGTATGGAATCAATCGTTAGCGCTGGCCCGCAGGCATCTGCTTAGGAGGAAAGGTTATTGCGAGGTGAACGGGTGTAGAATGAAGCGCATTGTCACTGCGACAGTATTGGTCTAATGGATGGTTTCTGTTCAAGAGGGCGAAAGCTGCATCTATATCACTTTTGGTCGCAGCGCCGCAGAAGTGACGTTGTAGTAGTAGTAGTAGTAGTAGTAGTAGTAGTTGTTGTTGTTGACATCGTTGTTGTCGTTGTTGTCGTCCGCCAGTAGGGGAGTCGGGAGTGGATGTAGTCACCGAACTATGTCTATACATCGCTGGAGTAACGTGGAGATATACCACCAGTCCTTGGCAGCCCAGCAGCTAATAGTTAACCATTGTGAACGGAGTATGCAGGACCTGGTTTCTCGTCATGCAGTTAAATACAGTATGTCATTTCTTACGCTGCCTAATAATGCAATAATGCACATTATCACTGCCCAACACCAGATACGTCTATGGAACTGCCCCATACCGTGCTCAGCGCCCAACATGTCAGCTAGTATGAGGAGTGTTCGTATGTCACGTATTTATTTTGTGTCTGCTGCGTTTGTCCTGGTACTGCTGTCACGCTGTCAAATCAGATGCAAGATTTCTATCTAGCACGGCCCCTTGAAGGGTGGATGAATGATGATTGGCGCCATGCTAAAAGCAGCTGAACAAACCAGCATTGATTCCGACCAGCGCCAACTACCTTCAGATTAGCTCCCGTATCCCCTGCCCAAGCACCGTGGATGCCTTACCTTGCCTGCCCAGGCAGCCTCTACGTAAATGCCACGGAGTGAAGACCATCCCGAGACCGGCGAGGTTTGTGCCTGGCGGATTCCACCTAAAACTGCGGAGGAAGCCAGAGGAAGCAAGGGGAAAGCTGACCAAGAGGATAATGACTTCATAGATTTTACACATGTGTAGCTATGGCCCTATGGGTGGGGATGAGCTGTCGCCAAGTCCACTCAACCAATCTATGAGTTGATGTGGAGTGGCGACACCAAAAAAGTAGTGACTGGTGTCATTTCTAAACCGCGGTTTCATCACGGGTGACTGTCGGGATCATCCGTGATTAAATGTATATTTTGTCGCTCCTAAGATCATAGATGAAGTTAGAAAGGAAGAAAGACTATTTCACAGCAAAAAGAAGAAAAGAAGGGAAAGAAAGAGAGACATGGATAATTTCAAAATAAGCCATGACGGCGTTGCACCCACAACCGGAACTCCTTACTTCAAAAATATAAATAAATAGACCCCAAGCCTCTCATTCCCTTGATCTGTGAAACCCTTGAAGCAAATCTCAAATCGATCTCCGTCGATTCTGCTGCACAAATGTCTCCTCTCCATCCGTAACCGCATTGCAGAGGAACCCTGATAACCCAAGTGCCGAACCAGCAGAAACCTCGACAACCACCAACCTAACCACCAACCGGCCAACCAAGCAATTTAATCAATGTCTCTTCCTCGTCGGCTCCGGGCTAGGACTGCGAGTGACACTCCGCTCATCCCGTCCCCTCATTTTCAGCCACTTCTTCGTCGAGAGCTCAAGCTCCTTCTCCAACTCCGGACTCGGTTCCTTGCGATGTATGAAATTGCAAAACCCGCCCCTGACACAGCCTTCGCCACTATTCAGTCGACAACAGGCTTCTCGGAAATCGGTGACGGGGGAGAGTTCGCAGTATATCGGCCGTGCAGCGTACCAGCGGGAATTCAGCGCGTCGCAGGCTTGCTGTGCCGAGTCTTCGTATTTGAAGCGCGCGTATACGTTTCCAATTAAGTCTGTGTTTGGCAAAGTTGAAAGGGGGGGGGGGGGTGTGGGTTTACGGTTAGTACGGTCTCTGATCTTCTGGTTTTGATGATGTGGAGATTTGAATAACTGAAGACGGGGCTGGAGCCCGAGGGGGCCAGAGGGTGGGGAAAGGAAAGGATGTGCGACTTACGGTCATTGTTGTTATCGCATACCACTACCTCCTCAAGCTCGCCATACTTGCACATTTCACACCAGAAATCCTCGTAGAAGGCATCGAAGTGGTTCTGCAGCTGGCTCGCATTCATCTTGTTCTTGGTATCGTACGCAGGGTTCTGGTAAAGGTTTGGCAGAAGGATCGTTTGTGAATATGACGGCTTTACATGCTTTCGCGAACATCGGTCGCCATGACGGCATGCGCCGATTTTGTAGTAGAAAGAGCAGTTGACCTTTTGTTTGTGATGTTATGTTAGCTCAGGCAATCCAGGTTTGTCTGATGGACGGGGATGAGCAGCAGAGATACAGGGTTAACTCACCTTGTCTTGCTCGGTTCCAAAAATGGAAGCGAGATAGTTCGCCATAGTTGCTGATTGTAATGTGAATGTAGAGATTGAATGTGACGGCTGATTCTATACAGGAATTTGTGGAGATATTGAATTGTTGAGCTTGTTCAAATTTCGAGCCTCCTCCTGTTTGTTCCAAGGTTTTGCCATCGAGATTACTAATATCCGTGCAAGATAATAACTAACTAACCGTAGTTGGCTAAAGTAGCTTTGAGAATCGTTAATCGAAACATCGAAACATCGAACATCACTCTCCGGTGAATAACATCATGAATGACAAGGGAATAAGCCACTTTTATTTATTGATTGATTTATTGTTGAAAAGAAAGAAGAAAGATCCCCTTTCTCTTTTATAACAAACTGCTTGATACACCGCCATGTATTATTTATTGCTCTTGAGTCAAGTACCCCAATCATCCGTTCTGGAAAACAACGGCACTTCATCGCCATTTCCACTCTTCCTGAAGTTCAGTTTGCCATGCCCTCCCATAGAACCCACCTCACTGGCCACGTCCTCAAGATCAACCCCCCTGAAGGATGGAAGTTGAGTATTGCACTTTCGTAGAAACCTCCTGCGAGTCCCCAGAGCCTTCGTTCCGAGGACACTACCTCTCACTTTCGTTCCTTGTTTTTGCTCCTCGAAAAGAGCCCAAAACCGTTCTTGAACGTTCGCTTTTCTTTCTCTTTCTCCTCTTCCGTGATACCCATGGCCTGACGGACCCAGACTTCCACCCTCTGGCAGATTGCGACGGCAGCAGCGTCGACAGCTTCGGCTGATGACCCCAGCAGCTTGATCCCAGCCTTGCCAAAGCTTTTGGACTCTAGCTCATCTGGAGATAGAATTTTGTGGTTAGATGTCTGCGGAATGGTTACTGGTTCAGTTTGCAATGGCTGGGTATCCTACAAAGCACGCTGTAGTCGTCGGCAATTTCCTCAAGAACTGCGTGAGTTTTTGCGAGGGTCGAGATACTGGCTGAAAATTATTGTGTTGTTAGCAGCGTGGTCTTTTGCTTTTTCCAATTTTCTTTTCTTTTCTTTCTTTACAAGTCTTTTTCTTTCTTTCCCTCTTGGAAAAGAAAGAAATGGGGTTTGGGTGGGGCTGGAGGCCTTACTTTGAAGTTCCTCCAGCGATATATCCGTCCAGTACGCGCCCTGGTGAACTTGTGGATGAAAAATCAATATCCCCATGGTCTCCGCACAAACACCAGGTGGGTATATTAAACTCACGCATTTGCATCTGGAATTTTGCTGCGATGATTCCACCAGGCCATTTCTCGCTCCAGGTTATGAGGATTTCACCGAGAGACTCTTTTAAAGCCCAAGGGTGCGCGTAAACACATTCGTTAAATGCGTTCTCCTGCAACTTCTCACCAAAGGCGACTGGGACGACTTGGAAGGGGCCCTGTGGATCCTTTGCAGCACCCATCATCGCAGTGTAATCATCCCAGGCGGTGTTGCCGATAAATGCCCACCCAAAAGTGTGCCCGAAGAGCCTGGTTGGGTAAATGACCCCATGTGTAAATCCACTCAGAACGGGGGTTACCATCCCGATATCTCCAGTGAACGAGTACCCATTCCAGAACTGGTAGTATTCGCGTTCGAACGCATGTTCCACGTGGACTCTAGCGAGGTAGATATCATTGGTATGTCTGCCCCACAGGTAGTACCAACCCTGATGGTTTATCGCGCAAAACGTGCCAAAGGCCGGCTCGTGCTTCTTAAAGATCACTGTATCGCCAAGGACACGTCTCCCGAGCAGCTTGCCAGTAATATCCACCTTCACCGGTGCAACCCCGGTCCCATGATAAAAGTTACGTGGTGGGAGCCCGTCTCTCTCCTCTCTGATCGTTTTCTGAAACCAGACGCAGCCATTGCCGCTGCCCGGTCTCCCCTCAGCAAGTCCTCCGTCGGTCGAAATGATCACCTCCAAACCCGTCTCATGTTCAAATTTCACCTCGTTTTCGGTCAGCCCGAGTAAAGGGGGAGTGTAGCCGTTCGGCTCAATGGCATAGTATGTTGTGAGAAGCGGGTCTTCCCTCGGCTCGAGGGCTCTGGCTGCCGCGTTGGAGATGATTCCAAATGGAGTTTTGTCGTATCCCTCGCTCTCTATGGGGCCGAACATGAAATAAGGGTGGTCGGCAAGGGTGGCGGAAAATCCACCGTTACGCGCATGGTGACCCTTTGCTGGATCGCTCAAGTTGCCAAGCACCTGGACCGCGTCGACCTGCGGGGGGAAGACGGCGCGGTACTGCTCGTACCCAGAAGTCAAGTCGATTCTACCACCCGGTGTGTCGTAGGAGGTAGGGGGGTATGCCATGTTATCATCCATGTTTGGAAATTGATGGCAGGATGCAGGTTGACCTTGTCACTGGCCAAACAAGCTTCAAGACACGTTTTGTTTGTTGTCATGGATGAGCTGGTGATTGTGTTTTGAAAGACCCTGAGGTGGCATTGCTCAGATGCTTTGAGCATGATAAAGGAGTAAGTCATAGGATCAGAACGACTAAGCGACAACAAACATGCTGTGGATGAGATGTTGTTGAGGTATATCAGTCTCAGCATTGATCCTCTTCTGCCTATAGACTGCCCATAGACTGCACGTAGACTGCATGTAGATTGCACATAGACTGTATATAGATTCACGTAGACTGCACATAAGATGGCTGGTTGTGTATATACTTGCACGCACTCCTCATCTTGCAAAAGCAGATTCTACTGTGTTCTGGATAGGAGCTAAACTAGGGATAATTGGCACCTGGACTTTCACCTTTCCCCTGAACAAAGCATTCCTCATACGTCTTCTCATAAGTCAGAGATAAAATATTTCGTACGCTGCATGTCTACAGGCAACAACACCGCCATTTAGGCAACCCGAATTCTTCCACCTTAATCCATTTCCATCGTATTAATAAGATGCCAGAACTCTAGCAATTGATTCTAAGCATGTTCCAGATACATAAAGTCGAGCATACTTACAACTCCGATATCATTGTCGCGGAACCCCTGGACCTCCTGTGTCGAGATATAGACAGACAGGGTACAGAAACCACCCATGTTCGGATGGTTTGGCGTAGGCGGCCGCTCGCCCGCCGATCAAGTAGCCAACTTTACTTTGGCTGCGACGCCGATGAATGCCGAGATCAAGGGAACCAAGATCAACTTCACAGACAACTGCGGCAACCAATGAAGAGCATTGGTAACTAGCGATATACGGAGTGATGTAATGAACAAACACAGCTATCCATGGATTCGAGATATAGTTACCCACCCATATACATCCTTTACCACCAAAATAGCCCTGTGCTAACTAGATAGATAGTAACTCCATTTCGGCATCGGTCTCAAACCAAGCGGATTAACCAGGCTTCATCTTGAGACGCCAGAGTGGGTGGGCACTTTAACAAATAAGCCCAGCAACTTCCCCCCACAAAACGTTCCCGAGCTCGTCCCCCCATCACAACTGCAACCGCTGGAACTCAAACTGCTGTTACATCTTCTTTATCACCCACGTCCTTTTCCTGAAACTTTTTCTATTTTCTTCCTGGTTTTTTTTTTTCTTTAATTGTGTGTGTGTGTGTGTGTGTGTGTGTGTGTATAATTAGGACATTCCCCGTAACTACGCAGCAGCCATGTTATTCGAATACTGCCAGCAGCGGCGAATAAGGTAGAATATACCACCACTCTTCTCCATGCATAGCTATAGATAGAGCTTCATCCCCCGCACGAAGCCAGCAATGTATCGTACACTGGAGCTAACCCAGTCTCTTCAACCGCATCAGAAACTTCAAGAGACAGCAGCGCGCACAGCGCATAGCCAGTCTCCCGTCCGTCTACCACTCCGCCTTCTCTGCTTTCGACAAATCCGTCATCGACAGACCAATTGAGGGGCTGGTCCAGGATGTGCACAAGGGCGTCATCTCGCCTCTGCAGCTCTTGCAGACTTACGGGAAGGTAGCAGTGAAGGCTCATGAGAAGACAAACTGCATAACGGAGCTGCTGCTTCCTGAGGCGGAGCAATGGGCTAAATCGGAAATAAATACCAAGGGGCCTCTGGCGGGCATCCCTGTCTCGTTGAAGGATTCATTTCAGGTTAAGGGCTTTGACATCAGTTTGGGATATGCGAGTCTGGCGGAGAAGCCGTATAAGGAAGATGGCGCAGTTGTGAGGTTGTTGAAGGATGCTGGTATGTGACGCATCTTGCTGCTCTCCTTTGATAATTCCTCTCTGTGAGGGTCTACTCTCCCTTCATTTACCTTCTCTTCTATGCTGATACCGTTTTCAGGCGCAATTCCATATGCAAAGACCAATTTGCCTGTTACGTTATTGTCCTTTGAATCTAACAATCCCCTCTGGGGCCCGTGTCTGAACCCACATGTCCCGCAGTATTCTCCTGGTGGCTCCACCGGAGGTGAAGCCGCCCTTCTTGCGTCTGGTGGGCGGATTGGCATTGGCTCCGACGTTGCTGGATCTGTTCGTGTTCCTGCAGCTTGGAGCGGCGTATACTCCCTTCGTTGCAGCACTGGAAGATGGCCAAAAGCTGGCATGAACACAAGCATGGCAGGGCAAGAAGGTGTACCAAGTGTCTTCAGCCCAATGGCACGAACCTTGAATGATTTGACGTATTTCACCCGCGCAATTATAGGCATGCAACCCTGGAAGTACGATCACTCGGTTCATCCGATTTCATGGAGATCGGAGCAGGAGGAGGAAGTGAAGTCAAAGAAATTGAGAATTGGAGTCATGAAGACTGACGGTACGTCTCAAAACGAAAAATATCACAGAATAAATCCAAGCTTTTAATTTCTCAATTCTAACCAACACACAATCCTCCCAAATAGGAGTTGTCCCACCCACACCGGCGATTGACCACGCCCTTGGCACCACAGCCTCCGCCCTCTCCGCTGCCGGCCACACCCTCATCAACATCACCCCACCCCCAAGCGCCAGCCCTCTTATCGGCCTCCGCCTCGCCTCCCTCCTCCTCAACTCCGATGGCTGCGCCACCTTCAACTCCCACTTCCTAGCTGGTGAATCCAGCGACCCCGGCGCCGCCCAACTGACCAAATACGCCAAGCTCCCCCGACCCCTCCGCTACCTCCACTATCTTTACGTCCGCTACATCAAGCGCGACAGCACCTGGGCATACCTGCTCAAAGACTTCGGCCCCAAATCGAGCGCCGAGCAGTGGAAGCTAGTTTCGCAGCGTGAAGCCTTCCGCGCAACCTGGCATAGCTGGTGGAGCTCGCCGGAGCAAGGCTACGACTTCATCCTGTGCCCTGTCAACGCGACGCCGGCGCTGCCGCACGGCGCGATGAAAGATGCCGTTTCCAGCTGCGGCTACACGTTTCTGTGGAACTTGCTTGATTACTCTTGCGGCGTGCTGCCGGTGGGTCATGTGGATGCGGTTGTGGATGCGATTGATCGTTCGCCGACGAAGAGTGCGCGAGAGAAGAAGAATGCTTATAAGAGGGTGCTGAGGGAAGCTGGGGCGGATAATGCGGTTGCGATGGGGGCGTGGAAGTATTATGATTCACAGAAGATGCATGGGTTGCCGACTGCGGTGCAGATTGTGGGGAGGAGGTGGGAGGAGGAGAGGGTTTTGGGGTTCATGGAGGTGGTGGAGAGGGCGTTGGAAGCGTATAGGGGTCCTGACGGGGAAGGGGGGAAGTATCGGATGTTGGAGATCGATTGAGTGGGTTTGAGGTGAAAGCGGAGACGTAGTAGTAGTAGTAGTAGTAGTAGTAGTTGATGTTGTTGTTGCTCTTCTCATAGTCTCCGAGTGATAATTGATAGTTTCTAAGCCCATGCATACATTAGCTGTGTGTTTTTCTGAGTTTATGATTGTGTTTGAGTGACGCTATCCTTGATATAAGCAATCTTAGTGGTTGTATGAGTTACTGTTAGCAAGTCAGCTGTTATATGTTTCTTTTTCAGTTTCAGCGAAAGAGTTGGATGAGATATTAAAATACACTGTGGGACCAATGAAGAACGCCATGACAAAAGGGCGTCATTACTCATTTCCCCGCGAGCTCTCCGTAGTGTTCTAACATTGAAAGGAAAAAGGTAACAGGAATATTGTATATATAAGGTACATAAAAGAGCTTTTACTAGGGTAAAGAAAATAAAAGGGGGGATTCAGGAATTTGAGACCAAGAACTCAGTTGAGATGCAAAATTAAATAAATCAAATGATCCCTTATACCAAATACACACAAGCAGAGCCATTCGCGTCCTCCCTATGGGAAGCGGTGAGCAGCCTGTCTCTTTCACTAGGCCCGCCATCACCGTCGTCCTCGCCAAGATCAACTGAACGCCCAATTTCCCTCCTCGATCTACGTTTCCGCGACGGAGAATGACGAACACCGTGAACCCCTCCCAGCTCACCATTCTCAACAACAACATCAACAATCCCCATCCGCTCCCTACCCCGCCACCACACAAACAAAACCAAAATCCCTCCCACCACGAACACCATAATCGTCAGGAGGATATTCACCGGAATTGGGTCACGCCGGAACAGCTTCATCGTCAGTATATCTAGCGGTATCTGTAGGAAATTCCCCAATCCGGCAAGGCATATCATGAGCCCGTAGACTTTACCAAAGGTCTGGAAACCGAAGATCTTGGCTGCATAGTCAGATATGGAGGCGTAGCAGAAGGGTCTGTAGAGCGTGAAGAGGGTAATGTGTGCGTATGCTGCCAGTAGGCTGTGGGGAATACAGCCCAGGATGCCAACGAGCGTGGAGCAGCAGAGGAGCGTGGCTACTGCTGTGACGGTACTTGCTCTGTCGAGGATTAGGCCGGTAAATGGTATTGCCACGATGCCTGCCAGCGGTAAGAAAAGGTCGAAGACGTGATTTAAATGTTTCACGAGCTGCGGGGAGGAGAGGAGGGATTCGTATTGCACGCCTATGCTGGCGATGAAGTAGTTTATGCGTAGCATTTGGAGGATGGCGAAGGAGGTCATTAAGATGAAATAGGGGGAACGGATTTGTTGGAGAGCAGAGGCCATGTGCAGGACGCCCCAGACGCTGTTGGAACGCCGGGCTTCATGCGGGACTTTATTGGGAGTTTGAGGAGTTGTTGACTGAGACGGGGTAGACTTGGTTTGTTGGGAATCATGTTGTTCATTGCCCAGGAGCTCTTCGATTTGAGAGACTACATATATGCGGTGCGAGATGCGGTTTTGTAGCTGTTGTTCTTGTTCCCGGGTTATGAGGGAGCCCTCCGGTGGGCCGTCAGTGGCGTTTTCCGCGATAACGTCTTCCTTTTGCTGTATAAGTTCTCCTGCTGTTTTGTACAAGGTTGATGGCATAAGGAGAATCTGGGAAGCGAGGATGACTGCGGGAACAATAAGATACATAAGAAATAGGTTCCGGAGCGTGAAGAATCCGCCATGAAGGATTCGGAAAAGGAGAAAAATGGCGCTCGACGAGTCAAACGCGCCCGTGAGAATTGCCAAAATAAGACCAGAATGCGTGGGGAATGTGTTGGAGAGCTGGAAGGAGGATATGAAAACGAAGGGGCCACCAAGGGCCAAAAGAAAATAGCCGGCGACGTATGTATCGAATGGTAATAGAGAGGCGAGAGCGAGACAAAGAGATCCAGATGCGATGAGGATACTTCCAATACTACCGCTGAAACGTGGGCCAAAAGTATCGAGTATGCTGCCCACCGGAAGGGCGGAAATATTGGTTGCAACAGCTGAGAGAGTGAACATGAAGTTTAATCTATAGAGGCAGTTAGTACTACATTCTACAAATGGAAAACTGCAGTTAGCGTACCTGAGATCCTGGTTGTAACAGAGGGATTCCCCTCTGTCAAGCTCTTCCTTGCTGCATCGATTTCTATATACACCCTCTTCTACGAGGATCGGCTTGAGCGCAGCATAGCCAAATATCACTCCGGCAGAGAGCAAGCAATACAATACGGCTACGGAAACTTGAGCTAATTGGTATTCTCGTCAGCCATATATTAGTAAAAGCGCTGATACAAATTGAGTAGCACTGGCCTGGGCATTCAAAAAAGCAAAGCTTGTAAACACCTCGTAGATAAACGTCATGACTTTCTTTGACTTACCAATGCGTTTCCATCTTGGTACCTCAAAGGCAGCTACAGTGTCAGGCCCGTCCGAGACAGTGTCGTTGGGCATAAGAGCACTGCTATCATCTGATATTGATAGTAGACTTCGTTGACATTCTTCATCTCGATCATCACCGTCGTCATCGTCGTCACCATCGTCGTCCACTGTCGCATGAGTCCATGACGGCCCAGCAGCCGGGTTAAAACTTAGCTTTCGTCTAACTGAGCTTTGAGAGTCGGCAGGTCGCACTTGAGCCAACCGCGTTCTGGCATTGGAAAAGGAATCGTTCCCTTCTCTCTCTTCCGCAAAGGCATTGTCTCCATGGTCTAGGTTCGGCCTCTCCCGGTGGCGGAATGAGGAGGGGCGGTAATCCCACGATTCAAGGGAAATTACTCTGTTTAGAGACATTATAGACGGTAGGGCGTAACTAATGGCTTTGGTGGAATGGTGTAGAGGCTGCCACGATATGTCCTGCGCTCAAAAGGAAAACGGACCCCGATTTGAGGCGTGGATCACCGCAACCGCAACGCTCTGGAAGCTGCCCCTCATTCAGTCTCGCTTCGAGCGCAAAACCCAACTTCTTCCGTTCATGGGCAATTTCGCTGTGAATGCTGTTTCTATTTTCTTGCAACCTGCTAGCACGGTGAATCTTGAAGCAAATCCAGTTAGTTCATCTTCCTCAGTTTCATATTCCATTCCGGTGGTCCTCTGTCCACCATGGATCTTGGATTCCTTATGAATGTTGCTTTCATACATCCTACAACAGAAGTGATCAACCATGACGTTGGGGCCATCGGCGCACTGAGGCTCCTTTTTTTTGGGAGTGGATAAATAATATTCCGCTGTTCTCCTATCTTCAGTCACGTGTATAACTACTTACTTCCATTTGGAGCCTCATCGAACTTCCTCACCCCTTGGATTTATTATTATTGCCCCGTCAAGTTATCAACAACATCCATCCAGACACATGCGCCGAGCAGATGTCCGTGTAAAATAGCGCCCTCTACCGCCTTGGGGATGCCGGAGACCCAGTTATTCCGTCAATCATCCTTGTCCAGAGCAATTCTTCGCGAACAGTTCTCGGAGGGTTGTAGCAGCCAAAAAATGAATTTCTAATAGTTAACTATGGGTGCGGGTGCTTGCCGCCCGCCACTAATAGGAACCCGAACTGCATTCTCCTCTTTGTTTTAATGCAGTTGTCTCAGCTATCTTCCCTGGCAATCTGAATTACTATCCGTTTTATCCATTGAAATTTTTGTTAAAAATGTGTTATTGCTACAAGTGGATCCCACTCCGCGGCTAAAATGTAGCATGCCGAATTGGTTTAACCAGCCTCCGACGCAGTCAGAAGTTGTCGTTGAAATACTTATCACCCAACGACCCCACGACTGCCTGTTTTTGCTTGCCCAGCAAAAGGATCAATGAACTCGCATATCCACCTTCGGTTTCATCGACCGCTGTCAGAATTTTTCAGTTTCAATCTCCCTTTCCATCATGTCGACTGCGTTTCGAGGTCTTCTATTTTGATATGAAGCTAAGACGATCGCCTTGCTAATTGTTGGGCTCATTTGAGATGTAGAATTTAGACGCCATGGTAATATGTGAAACTGGGACCTCTGGGAACAGGCAATTGCCCTTCCATGATGGAGGAGGGGATAAAGTCCGAAGATACACAAGGGGCATGATTGCCCTCTTTTTAAGTATATATTTTTAGATTTCAAGTCAATCAGCTGGATATGGTCCAATATAAACCCCGACATCGTTTAAGATGTAAACTTCATTTTCTATCAGATTTCACTTCGTTACCAGTTTCAACAAGCCCCACTGTTATCATGTCTAGAGAAGCTGCTCACGTAAATCGCGGCTCCTTACGGGGCCACTGAAATTCGTCTTCTGGCGTTCCGCGGGCCCTGACAGGATCGATGTATCCTGCTGCCAGGCCTAGCGACTCGAACTTCAGATCAGATAACAGCCTGTCCTTCCGGCGTAAATCTTCCAATACTCAGTCCAGGCAGCAGTCCTTATGGTATCTACGGACAATTCAGACTCGGCTGAAAAGGATAAATCGCCATATGGGCATCCATCCAGTGGATTAGAACCCCATACTTAGAAACTATACACCCTCAAACCAATAGGGGAGACGACAACGACATATCGTCCATGTACAATATTTATCCACGCGGTTCCACCAGGGATCCCAATAGTCGAGGGGAGGATGTGAATACAACAACACCGATAAACCATCCAGATGCTGGAGTGATCGATCTTCATGCTCAAGTCGAGGACTCCATATAATAGTGATGATATACGATACTTCCAGCAGATGGGGGTCGCAGATGGGGGTCGCGGATAACTTCATCGTACATCCATCTCACCCAACTTATTTAGCCGACGACGAAGCCAAAATCCTAATCCCCAACCCCCGCAGCACCTATCTTCCATGGCATGAAAGCCCGAACTGACCCACACCTTCGTTTCCAATTCGTCGCGAATTCCCAAGAATCATACGGTGATACCAGATGACACACACACACACACACCCCGTTCAGTTCGGAGCCTCAAACATTCGTTTTGGGCAAAAATACCTGAACTACGAAAATCACTCAATTGATAGTTAGCCAAACCTGTTGTATGTCTCATGATGGCTTTCTCATTTCCTTACTACCTACCTTTCTTGTCTCCTTATTTCGTTCGTCACGATGTACTCTAGTTGTCTCCTTGGTTCCTCGTATTCCCTTACCTTGATTCCTTCCACGCCATAACTAATAGTTTCTTGCGCTCTCTCTCCCTGTCAAATCATGTAGAGTTTACCTTGACCACAACACAGCACCCTCGCATGTCAATTCAGGTTCACCGCTTTTTCTTCCTTTCTTGTTTTTGAAATTATGGCCGTGAGTTAGGAATTGGTAATGCTTTTCATTGTTTTTTTATACACTATTATTTCTCTGCAATGAATTTATTCTATATTAATAACTTGCTAATGACAGATAAACATGAAGCCCTCAGGATCTGATTTTATTCTAAAGTTAATCTAATAATGTAAAGTAATTTTCTGGGCAGCTTTATATAGTTATGTTTGTGCTGCGGGTTCACCTAATCAAAAGTAAACCTAATTAATAGCGTGTTTTCAGGAATTAGTCTCTTGCATTATTTTACACCCCTCTACCCTAGAAATTGAGAGAATGGAGACAAGATATAAGATATATCTTAGCTTCGTAGCTATGCATTCATTCATTGATGGTTATCTCTCCTGGATACATTCGCACATGCTGATCTCACCATCAACGCCATGTCACACGAATTCCTGGAACGAGTAACTACTCCGCAATCTTTAGCTAATGGGCTCGCGTGCTATGCAAGTCATTATTTATTCCGTACCAGGGTTCGCCAATATGTCTGCATACCGGAATTCATGTTGAACACGTTTCCATCGAGCAAACCCAAATCAGCCTTGTGTTTCCATCTGTCTTCCCTATTGCTGAAAGGGAGTCATGCACACGCCAACGCCTGGTGAGGGAAATAATAGAAAAGATAAAAAGGGTTGAAAAGCGACAGAACCCCATAATGAAAGTGTCAGAGGGTATGGTAGATTTACACCTTCAACCCTTGGGCAATGGTGGCAACATTTTCATCTCAACAAGCTCCTCCAGGACATTTCGCAAGGACGCTAAACTATCAACGGTGCCGTGCCAGCCAAACTTGCGAGTCTTGTCCATGCTGCGTGGAAGGCGTGTCAGTATATTATATACATGGCGAATGTTGGTTACACACCGGAGAGACGGGAGATGTATAAGACGGGCTCCACGCTGAGTCTTTCCAAGCCGAAGAAAATCTCACCTAAACTGAACTGGCATTCCTCCCAAGATTGCTGTGTCAGCAAGACCGAATATCCGATTTCGTTCAGCGGGGATGGCAAATGGATCCTGGACAAGGCCGTGTTTTTGTAAGAGCTCTTGCCATGCCTTGTGCACGAGTGGGTCGTACGCCCATGCTGCCATGCTGTACGTGAATTCGATCTTTTCGGGAGGTCCAAATCTGGAATTGAGTGACAGCATTATTAGGTTCTTTTTTTTTTTTTTTTTTTTTTTTTTTTTTTTTTTGGTTTCTTCCCTTTCTGTGCCTCGTGCACAGTTACACCGAGACATCTGTGGAGTACAACAGGAGAAGCAGAACAACTTACCCACGAGGAGGGTCGAACGGCATCGTGAAACTTTGATACTCGGCCGTCGGATCGGGGACTTTATATTCAACTCCATAGAGCTTCGCAAGGCTGGCCCAGAGAGCACCGGGAGTAAGTGCGCTGCAATCGCAAGCATTAAACGCCTCGTTGGGTGCATCTGGATTCAGCACAGCCCATTCCGCAAGATAGCTGTTCAATGTAGCTGAGGACAAATCTCTGATAACGTCGAACGAAGCTACGTTTCCAGGGAATACCAGCGGTTTGTCTAAATGTGCGTGAACAGCTGCGAAGACACCAAGACAGTATGCTAAGTTCATAGCAGCATCCTTGGCAGCTCCGAGGATGAAAGAAGGGCGGACGATATTCCACTTTGCACCTGTCTCCCGGCAGTAATGGAAGAGGAGATCCTCTTGGTCGTAGTAGAAGTTTGGTTCGAGTTTGACGCGCGGGTCTGATTCGACCAGAGGGCATTTCGGAGTGCCCAGGTGGCAGCCGTAGGTTTTTGCACCTGTCTGGAGCATAAAGCGTTTTGGCGTGATCGAGGCAAGTTTGAGAGCTTTAAGGAAGTTGGATAGCATTGCGCCTGATACATATAGGTTTCAGTTTAGTTTGGTCGCTGTTCGGAAAGAAGTCAAAAGTAGGAGAGGTATATTTCAGAGCAATCATTCTTACCGTTCACATCGCACAGCTCTTGGGCATCCGACCATATTGAACCGCCTGTTTTTGGTGGAACCTGGATATACGAATAATAGAAGACATAGTCGCTAACCCGCTCAAAATAACAACATTGTTAGCTAGCGAAAAATTTAACGAATACCCTTTTCCTTCGCCGATCCACTTGAAGTCGAAAAGAACAATTAAAATTATCGAAAAGAACGGCACAAACTCACGCCTCAATCCCTTTCTCCCGCATCATCTCGGCCAGTTCTTCTGGCGAGCTCTTCAAGAAGTCCAACTCGAGATGCTTGACGTTCGCATATTTCCAATCCACGGCGGGCGCGTGGCGAGACATGGTATATATGTTTGCCCAACGCCGGGGGGACTCAGCCAGGACACGAACCATGTGGTTACCCGATATGCCGTTGGCACCTGTGACAATAACTGAGAGCCCCTTGCATGAGTCAGACTCCGTGATGACTGGAATTCCATGATATATACCCTTCGAGCGTATGGTTGCGAGTTTCTCTGGCTCGTGAGAGGCCGTGGTATTGGTTTGTTTGATGAACTTAGCATCCTCTGTTCCTCTTGTAGGAGTACTGTTGGTGACGTGAGAGAGGGAGGATTTGATAATACCCCATATAGAGGTTGTGTGGATTGAATTTCTGTCAGGCATGTTTGGTTCAGACTTCAGACATCGACGGGATCCCCAGCAATGAATGCGTGTAGTGAATATGAGAAGATGCCTTTTCTCTGAGGTACAATGTACGCTCTCCGCGAGGGGGGGGGGGGGGGGTGGGTAAGGAAGCTTTATATCAGAGATCTTGCGTGTTGCGAAGTTGGAATCTGACGGCGAATCGTGTAACTGCAACAACCTGCTTTGCTTGCGTTTCTCGCAGTTCGTTCGGGCGGTGGGTTTGTGTCAAAGATAAATAGAATACTAATACAGCAGAAATTAACCGCCAACCGGAGCAGATTAACACTCTGCATCTTAAAGCTGCAATGAGTTGCTGAATTGGGGAATTCATAGAAATAACACGCATGCATCGCCGCAGCCTTGATTTTGAACCTGGGAAGCCTCCGATTGGTATTTTCAACGGAAATCCTATCAAAATGAACCTCGAGGACCAAAATAACAGAAGCAAGTCCTGTGGAAGCAATGTACAGAAAGGGTAAGTCAATTTAATTCCTTGTCATTTAGCTCTCCCCAGATAATGACGGCCTGGAAGTAAGGCCCTGTTTTAAAATAGCGCACAATGGGCTGTCACATAATGAATATCGCAGGGTGGGCAGGGAAACCGGGAATGCGTATCTGGGTTTCAACACTTTTTCATCTTGTGGAAAAGAATAATAAGCACTAAGAGATCCTTGGATACAACCATATCAACTCCTGGCCCGAAAACAATAGTCGCTCATGTGCATTAGATCCAAAACCAAGGTGCATCACTATTGCATCTCATATAAATAGCAAATATGCCTACAATTCGGACCCCTTCGTCGTGAATTTCGGGAATGCTATCGGTTGAACAACGTGAACTTACCTGTAATGTATGTATGTGTACAGGTGTCATACCTGCACATGGCATTGTGGTTGATGGTTGAAGTCGGCCCGAAGTGTCCAAGTTAACGTAACCAATCTTTGTTGTCCAGAAGCATTAATTATGGTGCATGAGAACAGCGTGATAAATCATTGCTTAGTGCAGTGGAGACTGTTGATCGTTCCGCTTTGAGCCCTCCATGACCCACCCAAGCCTTGTCATGACTTTGTCCAGGAGCTTTCATTTTGAAATGGAAATTTCAAGACAACTGGAATATGCAAAATGTAGTATTTATATACATCCCAAGAGCAGTAGGACGGTCTTGATTTGGTTGTAAGATTTGCAGGGTGTGCGCTCATCATAACTATTGTGTACAGTATTGAATCCAGAATGAGGCGCAAAAATAGAAATCCAAGAACAGGATCACTGATAAGTAAGGACGAGTGGAGAAATTTTTCTTTTCTTTTCTTTTCTTTTCTTTTTTTATTTCGTCTAAATGTTTTGTTTTGCTGATCATTATTCATTCGTCATCAACCAACCAGCGAAGTCGTCGAAGGACAGATACTAGATTTGTGATGTCTTTAAAAACGGCAAAATGATAAAAAGAGATGAGAGAGGGGAGAGATTCGGAGAGATTAAGTAGAGTGATATGGAAACAAATGCTGTACATATAAGCTATCCTCATTTTTTTATTTGCTTTTCGTGTTTGGTGTTTGATTACAACGGCGCTGCAGTCTCATCAAGAGGGAAGCCAAAAAATATATCATCCCACATAGCTCCCAACACTGCAAATTCATCTGGCTGGAACACCATCTGCTGATCCTGGTATAGCAAGAAGGCCTGCTGCAGGCCACTAGGCCCTCCTGAATCTAGGGGGTTGAAACCGTGATTTTGGTTCTGAATTTGGGGTAAATACTGGGGTGTAAGTGGTGGATTTGAGCCACTGGGGAAAGCGCCCATACCCCCTGATAGACCGTAGGTAGGCCAGGGTTGGTTTGGGACCGTGTTGGGGGTGGTGCTGACGGTGGCAGCTGTGGTTGGGTGAATGGGGAGTGACCGGGCGTCCGGAGTATCAACATGGGCACTTTGAGGAGAAAGGCTGGGTTGGGTAAGGGGTGACAATCGGGATTCCTGCGGGGAGTGTACATTTTGATCAGGATTTGGGTTGTTTTCGGATCGAGTTTTGATCTCTGGACGACCCACGGCTGCCTGGCTTAGGAGGTATAAATGGGTCGATTCTGCACTATGAGAGGGCTATATGTGGCGTAGGTGTAAGTTAGCGAAAAGCTTGTCCAAGAGACCGGATTGTTCTTTTCATTCCAAATTCAAGAAAGGAAACAGGGGGAATCACAATGGAAACAGAACCTCCGCACTAACCTTCTTCCGATACCCACTCTCTGGCTCTGAACTCCCACGGTCAGGGGCCGTATACGCTCGAAGATCCCTCGGTTGGAAAAAGCAGTGACCGCCACCAATGGTCATCTGCTTTCCCTCACCCCTCTTCACAAACCAAGCTTTCAACATCCCTAGCATAATGGAGAATCTCGCAGGTACTCGTCCACGTTCATGGTCCCCGGAGCCTATTAAATGTTGAATGAGCTTGTCGAGGAGATGCTCGATCCTGAAGTGGGTGGGATTGAATACCTGTCCCAGTCGGGTGGAAGGGTGCGATGCGGCGGTGTATAGTTTAATGAGAGCGACGGAGGCATATGCTGTACGAACAAAATGAATAGTGGGGAGGCACTGAAGCATGGGATTATCAATGGAGAAAAACGTCTCAAAGGCTTCGTGGATGGAAGTGAGGCAGACGGTCAGAGCAGCGACATGGGCTGGTGTGCCTAGGTCAACGGAAGTTTCAGAGTCAAGGCTGTTTGCGAAGGGTGGTTTGAAGTCGTCGATGTTGTGGTCCGCGTGCATGCCGATTTCATGCATGTAGAGGTTGATAATGAGTTCGTAGTGGTGCAGTACAGCTGATCATCGATGTCAGAAACAGCATAGCAAGAACGAGGGTAATAAATTTCTGTATACATTATATTTGATAATAAGAACTCAACGCAATAACGAAAACAACTTACGAGAATAACACTCAGACGGCACCCCCTTTCGCCATTTTTCTAAACGTCGTTCAAATCCTTTCAAAGCATATTGGATTTTGGGATCTGTGATATCCACATTCGTAACGGGATCATCCATGGAAAACTGGAAGAGAATCTCTTCACCAATGTGCGCCAGTTTTGCCCAATGAATGAGGGCTTTATCAGAGGGAAACGCATCGGGTGACGTCCCGAGGATTTCAAGACATTCGTCCATGTATGGGTGCCAGCGAGTGAGAAGTGGTCGTCTAAGTGACATTGAGACACTATTCCAGTGCGTCAGCAACTACCATCCACTTTCAAATTAAGTATATGACGATTCCGATGCAAAGAGTGATATAGTCGGCAGGTTGAATGAAAATCGCGAGAAAATAGAAGAGAAGGGAGTTAGACTCCATACTTGACACTCATAAAATAGCACCCGAGCCAGGCTCGCCTCGTTTCCGGCGCATCAGGATCCAGCATGACAGCCTTCTTGCCCACTATGTCCCTCCACATGCCCATTGACTTCGACTTCGACTTTGACTTCGTCCTCCTATTCATCCCAAGATCCATTCCCATCGCCACCGCAATATGGATGAGCTGGAAAAACTTCATCTCCTCATAGTGATCCGGAGGGACATACCAGATCGCTGAAATCACGAGGGCCTGGACTAGCTCGAGGGATTTTGACCCTTTGACAACCACTTGGTCTGCATATACACGGTAAACCTCGTTCAATAGAGGGACCTGGACCTCTGGTCGAAAGACACCAATGGATATGGATAGGATAGCTAGGAAAACAACCGGTTTAGTCCGACGCACTTCCGCCATGGTAGTTTCAGGAGGGAAGACGACGCATGGGAACAGCGGGGCGATATCATTCACATAGCGGTTGAAGGACTTAAGGGCACATGCCTGATCCACGATTCCACGATCAATGACATCAGTGTATTCATGGTCGTAGCGAACTTTGGGTGCCCTGTCGATCAGAGGTAATAACGGAGGCCAGGGATCAGGTGCATTCCCATCGCCATGATCACTAGGGACCGTCGCGGTGCCATCATGGAGTGTCGATAAACCCTCCGTCATTGGGCTATGCGATCTCGCAGCCAATGGCGCCAGTATCGCAGAGGTTTCTTGCGTAGGCTTAAAATTCCCGCTGGAGTATCTCTTATTCCCAGCTAGACCTGACGTGTGACCCAATTCCCCTCCAACAGTTCTACGCCGACCTTCACTATCAGGACGCAACGCCAACCAACACGAAGTAGTCAGCTCCTCTGCTCCTGTCACTTGGGGACTCTCCAACCCACCACCAACAACACCTCTAATATCACCATCATTTCTAGTTTTAGACGCCTGCAAACTCGCAGTCAACGCATCAATCTTCCTCTCCAATTCAGCAACGCGACCGTCCGCCTTTTTCCGTCTCTTGCGAGTCCGCACCGTAACGACGCAGCGCCGATTGGCCCTTGCACAACGTTTGCATGGTCCATCTGGATCCTCCGTGTGAGGATCACAGCGCACCTTAAGCTGGCGACAGGCCTCGCAGGCACGCGGGCGTTTCAGGTCGAGGAAAGGATCATTGCTGATATTACCATTGCCAGTATGAGCACCATTTTTATTTTTATTTTTATTTTTATTATTATTATTATTATTTGAGTTAGTATTGGCAATGTTGCTCACGTCGTCGGCAGACGCGGCAGTATTGGTGGTCCGGGTCCCGGTCTTGGTGCCGTGGTCGCCGTCATAATCATCGTCATCATCATCGTGTGTACTGGGACCAAGAGTTGCAGAGTGCGGAGACTGCGGGTTTGTGCTATCATAACTGTAGGTGAGGGTATGCGGAATGCTATGTTCGGAGGACGGGGTGGATGATGAGGGGGCAGAGGTACGGAAGGGAGCTGGCCGATCGGCATCCATGGAAATCAGATATTTACGCGGATGGTGCCACTCTTCGGCGCGTCTTCAGGCAACTTAATCGTAATGATCGTGTAGTTAACAACTAGTTAATTAGTTAACTAGTTAGTTAAAAAGAAATTATTATATAACCCGTCTCTAGACCC